TAAAGGTGAATGTGTCATGCTGTCTAGGGTAATGGAAATCTATACTAAGTAATATGGGTATGTTTTGAACTCTTAGCAATGTTTTACTCTACGGTTGTATGAGTTTTTTTATTTATTACCAATCTGCAGGTGTTGGGGGGAAAAAAAAGCTATTGAGAAAATGATGCTGATGTGACAAAACTGAAAAATCTGGGGACAAAAAAGCATTGTTGTGTCAGTATTTGAATTGCAGTGAATCAGTGATGCCAGTGAGACCAGAATTTTTTTTGAACTACTAAGTTACCCTTATTTAATAGCTGAATTTTTATATACTCCAATTTGAAAATGACTTTAAACCTGAAGTTTTCAGTTGGATTGTGCTTTAAAATCACTAAAGCATTTTTTTGAAACTTCTGAATTTTGAATTTGAATTTTGAATTTTCTACTGTAAAATTTTGTCCTGTGTAAAGAAGTTCAATGTCGAATGACACTACCATAACATTAGCGTGACAAGAAATGTCATCCAGAAACGGAGTTGGGGGGAGGAAGGGAACAATTTTCATTGAAACAGCAAATGTCAAATACACTTCTGTTACTCAGTAAAGCTGAGCGTTACATTAATCTCCCTCGACTAGTCTGCCCAGCTTTCCTCTATGAAGGTCATAGCTGACCTGATACTAGTGTTGGTAATGGTCCTGTTTTGAGCAGGAAATCAGCGTAGATGACCTCTAGAGGTCCCATCCAACCAACTTTTCTATGTTTCTGTGACTCTTACTGGGAATGAACTGGATCTAGGAGACTTATGTGGCTGTGACACATTGCTGGGGTGCATCACCTTAAAAATCTTTTCTCCTTTTGCAGGTCCAGCCCTCTTTTTTCTCCTCACAGTATCCAGATGATGACCCAGACTATTGCATATGGATTCCTCCTGCAGGTATCAACCACTTAAGGTTTTTATTCTATAGCTCAAGAGTCTACCTAGAAATCTATTCTGCTATAGAATTTCCTTGTAACATACCTAAATAAATAAATAAAATGTCCACAAATACATTACGCAGACCTCATGTTTTCTGGCATGTTGTGCCCCAGATTTATTTCTGGTATGGCTATGTGGCTATGGAAGTCTTGCAGTGAAATGCTGACGATTTCTGTAGTAGCTTGATCTTGCCAAGTAAATGGACAGATGCACCTGAAGTTTGTTTTTCCGTTTTCTAACACTTCAGAGAGCTAAATCCATTCTTTAGCGTTCAGTGTGACAGGAATTTCCTGTTTTCTTAGTAAGTTCAAAGATTAGCCTTCATTTGGTGAAGTCATGACAGTCATTTTTAATAAGGCTGTTATGGGCTTATAACGTGGACAGGCTCCAGAGGGAATAAGAAAACCGAGCATAAATTTCACTAGAGAAAACTCTAACCTAGTCAATCCTCCTTCAAGGAAAAGACTACACTTCCGTGGCAAATGAATCAAATGGAGCAAAATACGTAATTCAATAGCTTAGAGAAAGTATGATCTGGGAGAGCCAAGCCAGTTGTGCCCGTAAGAGGGAACTCCATTTCCTATCTCTGCCAGCTAATAGACTTATCTTCTGTCTGAGCTGGTGTAATGAGAACACCAGAAGAAAAGGAGGGAAGGGAAATATATTCACACACACTTCAAAGTATAAATCAAAAGGTTATTATCCTATTTTTGCCCATCTGGCATGTGCTATCTAGAGACTGCTTCATACTTGGCTACAAATTCATCTCAGAGGAAAAAAATGACTTTCTTCTTTGTCCATTAGGTCAAAGTGGTGATGGCAAGACTCATCTAAATGAAAAATATGGCTACTAAGGTTCAGACTCCAGAGACTGCTCTGATGTTTAAAGGACTGCTCTAAATTGGATTCTTCCTGCATATCAAGTGAGGGATCAAAGTTGATTTTTGAGATGCTATTTCAAATTTAAGGACATCAGTAGCCACTGTGACTATTACCTTTCCTTATTGCATCTGTTCCTAGTTTTCCAAAAGCCTTTTTAAAGATTTCTGACCCTTACCTACACATTCTTCTGCATCTTCCTTCCACTTTTAACCTTGTTCTTTTCATTTGGTATGGACCCGTAGACTCATTTTTTCCTTTTTGTATATAAAGATATACAAAGATGGAGTTAAAGAAAGACACCCTCTGTATACTTACAGGCTTGATAAAATTTATTCGTGCTGGTTTTATGCAATTAAAATGAGAAACACTAGTGTTTTGCTCTATTGCTGCTATTTGAAAATAGTATTGTCAGGGCAAACAGCCTAAAACTCGTATTTTTTTTACTGAAAAACTTTTAATTAAAAAACAACTCTTTCCACTCCTCCCTCATGCAGTTTTTGGAATGCGGTTGCTAGAAAACCGAGTATGAAGGGGACTTGGAATGATGATTATACTGTGTTAAAGGGTGTAAAAACACTCTGAAGAACTGAAGAGGCTGTTGTTCCTTATCTCATATAAGAGGGTAACAGAAGATGCAATGAAAGGATATCCTGGAAAAACTTATATTGAAGTCTGTTCTTTCCCTGTTACAACACAAGAATAATGGGGCATTTTAAAGCAATTTCTAGAATACCATCTCTTAATTTATCAAGAGTATACTTATATACCTAATTAGGCTATGACATTCTTTACCACTGAATGGTGTTAGAGGCAAGAATAAAGTAACATTCAGAGAGTTATGAGGCATCCTTATTAAAAGGTAGCTAGAATACCCCAAAGCAGTGCTGTAAAATTCACTGAAAGAATCTAAATCTCTGTCTCACTACTGAGATGACTTCAAAACTGCTCCATGTTTGGGAGGAGAGGGATACGGTTTCTCCAGTACAGGTTCAGCACCGTTCTTTGTGCTGTTTGCTGCACCTATACTGGATTAGATGGACCAATTGTCCAATTTCTACGCAGAATGGCTTTAGAAAACCACTTGGAGTGGTATGTGTTTTACAGAAACATCATTTTGAAATCTTTTTTTTTTTTTCCTCTATGTAACACTGACCATGTTTTTTCATTATCACTTTTTATAAGTGTAAGTTTAAGCCTCTCTTGTCATCTTTTTCCCTGTTTAAATCCCTTTAAATGAACCTTCATTGCAATCACTACTCTTTTGTGCCGGTTCGACCTTGGTGATTTTTTTGGTGTGATCTGGGATTGACCGACTGTCAGGCCCCTCATGTTCTCAGGCAGCCCAGTGACAGGCTGCCCTGACCATTCACCCCTTTCAGTTTATCCAGAAGCTCATCAGAAGAGGAAGCCCCCTCCCACTGCCTTCCCTCCATTTTTGACAGTGCCATACCCCCGTGTTTTTTTCATACTGCTCTCTGATGGGCTGGTTGCCATTTTTTAACATTGTGATACACATGTCATCTCAGATCACCTTCTGATTGCTGCATGTTTCTCTTGAGCCAGGAGGTGGTCATTCATGTATAAAAGGATTCGTTTCTCCTGCAGTCTCTTTCTCTGTTTATATATTTCTACATATATTTATAAAAATATATAAAGGAGAGTACAAATATGTGTAAATATTTAATCATACGCAGATACACTTTATGTACTTTTATATGTGTCTACATAGCATACATATATGTTTGATTATCTTTATGTCTATAGACATATATACATGGCAAAGAAAGCCAAGGGTGTCCTGGGCTGTGTTAGGCAGAGTGTTGCCAGCATGTCGAGGGAGTTCACCCTTCCCCTCTGCTCAACACTGGTGAGGCCACATCTGGAGTGCTGGGTGAGGGTCTGGGCTCCCCAGCAGGAGAGACGTGGACACACCAGAGGAAGTCCAGTGAGGGGCCAGAAGGAGGATTAAGGGACTGGAGCAACTCTTATATGAGGAGGGTCTAAGGGAGCTGGGGCTGTTCAGCCTGGAGAAGGAAAGGCGGAGGGGGATCTTATCAATGTGTATCAATACCAGATGGGAGGGAGTAAAGGAGATGGTGCCAGACTCTTCTCAGTGGTGCCCAGGAACAGGATGGTTGCAATTCAGTCCTGCGGCCTGCAGGCTTCGTCTACTTTAGGCACTAGTGCTAAGCTGGGCGAGAGCTGAATTAGCTCCCTTTTCTAACACTAGTTCTTAGTGAAATCACTCTGTTCTTACTAGAGTCCATGTTGAAACTCTAAAGAACGAGCAAACCAGGATTTCACAAGTGAATCACATAAAATGAAATTAGGACAGCCTCCCATGAAAATGAGCATACTTGCAAATGCTCAGTTGTTTTCCGTTTCCCATGAATTGACATCACAAACGACTTGCTCCACAATAAAGCAGCATTAGAGCTCATATTTGCCAACTTGGAAACTCTATTAGCTCGCTATATCTCAGCTGAAAAGTGGTTGGCTTTTTTTGTTTGGTTGGTTTTGGAAGACTGCAACTACCCTCATTTAAACTGGCAGAGATGTTCATACCATTATTTGTAATGACTGCATCTCAGAAAGAGGTGCGATTTTTAAAGTATCAAGGAATAAGCAAACACATGGGAAGCCTTGTTTTACAGAACACATTTAAACCTATCTTCAAATAATTTAACTTCATTGATACAAAGGGACATTAGCAGAGAATTTTTCCTACCATTAGAACAAGGCATAAATAAATATAAAAGTATAGGGAACCAAGCAAAACAACATACCTAGCAATAAATTGCCAGCTTTCACCTCAGAGTAAATGCAGTGCTTGCTTATTAAAATGGTTCTATATGTTGAGACTATTTAGTTTCTGTTAAGTCCCTTTCACATGACAATCTCTAAAAAGATTTTAGACATGGAAAACTCAACACTATTTATTTTCCTCCCAAAGAATCTTGCATGAGGCTTGTGCACGGTTCTTAGAGCCAGAGATCATTTCTCAATACAATGTGCAGAGACTTATTGGTGAGACTCCTAAATGGAATTATTACATATTTTTCCATATCCCTGAGTCAGTAACACACCTTTAAGTTTTTCATATATAATATTTTCATAATAAACATTTATAGAGTGTGAGGCAGGAATCAGGTAAGTGACTCACCTTCATCTAAAGGTACCTCTTCCCCCTCACATAGGGAAGGAAGGAGGGGCTGCAGAGGTTCCATGTTAATTATGAGTTGCTTGTTCAAGGAAGGAGAGCTGTGACTCTGGATAATGCTGGTTCTAAAACAACAGGGAAAACAGGGTCACTTTGTTCATAAGGAAACAATTACAATCATATATGGCTCATCTCAGAAGCGCTTTGCATAAATTATGATAGGCCTTGAGCTATCAAGGCTGTGCACACTGAATGCCACTTTCAGCTGTGTTATGCTGCACCCTCAGCAGATATAAACCTTTCAACGTCTGAAGTGTAAGAGAAGGCTTCGTGCAAGTGGATTTCCATTTATGCAGCCTAGCTTCTTCTCACCTCATGCAGGATTGCAGTGTGTTGCTCCTCTCCACACTGCACAGCAGACAGGATTATTTAGCTTCAAGGAAGGGAAAAGTAGAGAGGATACAAATCATTTTGCTGAAGTTGTTCCATTGCCTCTGGGACTGGGTCAAAGATTTGCTGTGGTTTGAGCAAGGCAGATTAAAGAATAAAGCAGGAACAACTCTACCCCTTCAGTCAACAAGTAAGCACATCTCTCATTCTCACACACCCTAGATGTGGTCTCTCTACACTATGCCTTCAGGACCTCAAGCTGGTTTTCTTGAGTTTCTTACTGGGCTCTAACATGCTTTCCTGGTAGCAGGTGTTGAATTTTCTTAGAAAAGTTGAAGAAATGCTGTTAATTCGCTTCAGTCATGTGGCTCGCTAGCCTAAAATCATATTACAGAGAAAATAGAAATGGCTCTTTAAAATAAGTTACCTAGGACTTACATGATACAGGCCTGAAGCAAGAGTTCTGCAATAGAGCTGAACCATTACATTATAGAATATTTATTTTTGACAAAAGCAAAGATGAAAGGAAAGAGGCTTCTGTTTGACTTCAAACAGTATATAGCTTTGCATTCAGGATAGGCTAGGAATACTGCCCATGCCCTGGTCTCATCATTTATCTTCAACCTCCTCCAGATTAGGCTCTGTTATAAAATTGCAAGTGCAAGAACAGGCAGCAGACCCAGAAATAGTGCTAAATTTTCACAGGACAGATTTTGAGTTTGCATAAAGACCCAACTTACAATTCCACATAGAGAAACAAATTAAATAAAGCACCTATTGCAAGTGAAAAAAAGGGACTGTGTGTTCTTGAGGGTTTGGGTACACTGAGGATCCAGATGTAATGTGACCTAAAGCAGCACGTCATTAAATATTTCTGGGGATAAACAAGCTTTCTTGCTCAATTACCATGATTCCCTGCTCGTTAACATATGCCCAAAGCTACTTATGTCCTCATTTGCATTATGTGAGCAGTCTCCAATAACTATTTAGTTTAAATTTTCACTATCCAAAGAAGTTTTTCACTGATGCATGACTGTAACTATAATCACACCAACCCAACAATACCCCTGCGGGCTTATTAAACATACCCATATATGTACACAAAAGTCTTTCAAAACTGAACAAGAACTAGGAATAAAACTAACTAGGACTAGGAATAAAATGGAAATTTCTCTCTTTGTTGGGATCAACTTTGTTGGGAACAACTTTCTATGTCATAACACAGAAAATAATATAAGCTACTTATCTGACTGATTGATTAAAGACAACTTCAAAGCAGCACAGATTAAATTCCCTTGCGTAGGGGACAACATGCTATTGTCAGAATTTTGACGCTGGCAACACATCTTTCCCAAGGCTTGCATGCCTCAACACGGGAGCTCAGAACTACAGTCATTGCATCTCACAGTAAAGGAAAGAGAATTTCTATGCAGAGCATAATAATCCTCCTCAATACTTCAACTTCAATATTGAATGTCAAAACATACCTGTGAACTTCAGGAGGTTCCCTCAGGATCTTAGAGCTTGCCTCCACAACCTCTTTGGCTACTTTTCCACTGTATTAAAACATGAATTAAAAATTCAAGCCAATACTAAGAAAAGTTATACATACGTGAACAATTAAGTTACTCTCAAAAAGAAAAACGCAACAAATTTTTGATATTAGAAAACCAGCTATATAGTGCATATGTAACTTTCCAGATTTAAAATCCTGTTGACCATTTATCTGCAAAACCACTCAAGAAAAAGCAGCCTCTTGTGGGAGAACACTAGGTTCTACACTGTAATTACATTGTCCCACTAATGCATCTCTATTCCAGAGTTGCCCAGTAAAAGGGGAACTCAGTCTCTATACTAGCCACAAATCCTCATTTTATAGCAATTATACCAGAAGTGGGACTCTGTTCTGGTGGAACTATTCTTTGGCAGAAGCTTGCATGAAGCCACCAATTTATTTTATAAAAGATTCTAGAGAAACACTAGAAATACTTTTCAATCCTGACCTGAATTAGGTTTGAACAGGTCCTCAAGAAGGAGGAGCCCTCAATTTGCCATGAATAATTACTGAAACTTTCTCTTACTTTCTAAAATGGTTAACCATGAAAAAGAAACAGTAAACACCCACCTATATCGAAATCTACTGCCTTTGAAAAATATTTTGCTGCTGGTCATGGTCTTGATCTGACTAGATTTTGCATACCTTGAAGAAAAAGAACAGAGGCTGTCACATTTTCAGCACACAAGGAACCTGATATGCAAAAATGAACAAGACCAACTACAAACTTTTATTTTTATACTACAGGGTAATATTCAATAGTTGGCCTTTCCAACTTTTTATAGGCCTATATACAAATCTTAATATAAAGCTGCACATGAAACGATTTAGATAGTACAGAATGACTGAGCATAAAACAAGTAGATAGGAAAGCAAGGAAATAAAAGGCAGATGAGTGTTGCATCTCTAGGGACTTTAATTCATAGGATGAAGAAAAGATTGTAACAACCCAACAATCCCTAGGACAAGTTCTCCTTAACACTACTACCTTGTTTGCAGGAAGATGTGGCTATTTCCACTTTCCCACTAGTAAAACAAATAAGGAACAAAGAAACAGTAACGCTTGTCTCCAAGAGCAGTTGCATTTCCCATGTATTTATACAGTCAAGTTATAAGCAGGTTACAACATATTCTACTTCTCCTCCCTAATCATAAAGTATGCAGCAACCTTTTATCACAGCAATCAGAGTTTGACCTACAAAGATCATGTACAACCTCAGACATGGCATTTCCTTGATGTTCTGCGGTTTTGAAATGACAAACTGATTTCACATCGATTCTCTCACTCTTGGATCTTAGTAGATGATCATCTACGATTTATAGCTACTTGAAAATAATCACAGCAGTCAACCCTGAGCCTGGATTGAGTCATGAATAAAGCTCCATTTTTCAAGATGTGCTGAAAGATCGCAATCTTAGCTTAAATTTCAAGTCTCAAGCTCTTCTAGCAGAGGAAAGGCCCAAATATAATTAAGGCAAAGTGTCATTATCAGGAATTATGTGCAAGATCTGGCTATGTCTGTTCTAATTAGAATATCTTGTTGATATACAGTACGTAAATGGACAATCGGGCCGTAATATCTATAATACTCTTAAGTAACTAAGGATCCACAATGTATAGTTTGGTTTCTCTGACTGTACAAATACCCTTGCTGCTTTTAAACTACTATCCTAGCTTTTATTCACAGATTTCTTTGGAGGGTTGGGGTTTTTTGGTTTTTTTGTTTTGTTTTTTGCACATTCTGCATATTAACCATTACTATTTCCCTATCAATCAGCCAACTTCCTGGCCATTGAGTATCACTGCGACTCCCCACTTGACTAATACAGTCCTCTTAAGACCCACTGAAACGTACACAGGCAAGATAGTTTTAAGCAATCCCGTTGAAGAAATAACCTCATAGCAGTGCCCTGAAGCCATTTGGAAAGTAGAAGAGAGGAAAACATACATCTGTGACCAAAAGCCAAACAGTAAATATTACAATCATTCAACTACAAAAGCAAAGAGATGATATTCCTATGAGCCCACCTCAGACATCTTTCCTTTGAGTACCAATTCCTCTCCTTTGGGTATAGATAAGAGGAACTGTTCTTTCAATTCCCCACGTTTAGTTCTAGTAACATAAAACTGTTTGAACAAACAACATGCACTATTTTCCTACTTGTACACACTTCCAAGGGAAAACATTTCCTGATGATCTTTTTATTAACTCAGTCTCAAGCAGAGTAGACATTTACACAGAGAAGAATTAACAGCTGTATTGTAGCAGCTTGTGTTTCCTGTTTTTTCATCGAATATTTTAATTGTGTAAATTATATTGAATATATTATTGCATTAGTGTTAAAATAAAAGAAGGAATCTTCTCCAAAATAAAGCAGGTCATTAACATCCACATTAGGAAACATGTTCTTCCTACCCAGTTAAAAACCTACCTTTATAACAGCCCCTGGTGTTGCTATGCTCCAGCAGAGAAACAACAATTTTTAAAAAACATGCAAGATGCTGTAAGGAGAGACTAAGTAGCAAAAATAAAAGCTATGTTCCCAAAGGGAAGTGTTAATAAACAAAGAGAAAGATCTAACAAAGTCACTTGAGGAAAGAGAGGCAGAAAAAAAAAAGTCTATGGGTGATGAGGAATTATTTTCAGGATCTCTTTTGGAGAATAGGAAGGATGCTTCTTTTTTTCTTGTCAATTTACAGGCCACATATTTCTTAAACTAGATATCTGTCAATTTTCAAAATTGATCTAAGAATATTTTCCTTTTTTTAACGCATTGTACAGAATTTTTAATCAATTCTCACTAAACAGAGAGCATTACCTACTGGCAGAAGAGCCCAGAGAATTAAACATATCACACAATCTCTTCAGTTTTCAAGGTACTCAGCAGCAGGGCTACGATTAACAACTATGTTCCCAGACACCAAGTATGGTACCCTGTCCATCTGACTTCACGTTACAGAGCTGCAGAAACAGGGTGCTGGAAAAAGTTTAATTATTCACTCCCCAAAGCCTTCTGCATCTTTCTAATTTTAAAGATTTTTGTAGTACTGGCTTGAAATGAAGTCATATTCTCCATTAAGATGGGTATATTCTGTTCACATTTTGAATCCTGCTAATGAAACAGAAAACATTTCACATTGAATTGTCTTCTACTCGCATGCACGTTACTTTTAATATAGATAATGGAGTTAAGTTTACTTACTTATAAAAAGCCTGGTTCTCCACCCCACACTTCCAAAGATGCTTGCAAGCTGCTGGTGTAGAGGTATGGAAGGACAGCATAGCCTTTTTCTAAGTGCAAGGAAAAGAAGGCAAATAAAAGCAATGCAAATGTCAAATTCTGAAAGAAGCACTGCTACTGAAATAGCAGGATCTGACAGCAGCACCATGAACTGGATACCCTGAAGACCAAGTTTCTCTGTATAGCCTCAATCCATGGTTCACTCACAGAAGTACAACCCATACGTAGTTGATATTCCAACTGCCCGTGCAACTGCTTCAGACATAAAAAGGGATGTTTTGAGGGGCTAGAGAAGAGCATATAAAGAAGTGGTTTCTGGGATAAATCTACCGACCACCTTCAGGCCAAAAGGACAGGAACAAAGTGTCTATGTTCACTATTCCCTGTTGCACAGTTGCTCTGCTGCTTACCATCCACTTTTCCCCTATTCACTATCTCCTGCTGTCAAATCCTCCCCGGTACCACATGACCAGCCCCTGACATCTCGAGCCTTATTTCCTTCTTCTGTTTTCTGTTCATCACCCAGATTGCATCCAAAGCTATATCACTCTGCCAGAGGTGATAGAACTCATTATAGCATACAGTAGGCAAAACCTCTAGATTACAGTGCTAACAAGCCAATGGCAGGACTCCTAACTACCTAGATCAGACTCCAGTCCAGTTAGCTAAGCAAGATTTGAGGAGGTGATCCTAATTAGCTAAATCAAAAGATATATCATTCTGATCCAGGAATCAAGGCCCACCTGAATTTTCGATCATATAGAGATACTGCTCATGCTTTAGAGTGGGTGCAGCTTTCATGCTTTCAAAATCCAACCATTAAAACGTGACTAGTCAAACAATCAAAGCCATCAACAATCAGTGCAGCACTGCATGAAGGTTAGGGGACAAATGTCTGATCTCTTTGCAAATTAGACATTCTCTTGAAATCAGTAATATTCATTTTCACTTGTATTCTGCATTTTATCTACAATATGAAATATAATTATTGTTTGTTTCAAAGTTTAAGATCACAATTAAAAGATGATAGTATTAAATTTTAATTGACTCTAAATCAAATACACAATTTCAGTAAAAACATTAAACCTGACCTCTTTCTGAGCTCCAAACACATAAAAAGTCTTCCCTTCAAATTTCAATTTATAGACATCATACCTAAAAAGAGAAAAATCATTTAAGTATCGGAACAATAGATAGAGCTACAGGTAAGAAAAGCGATTTGCATGCAAATGGCACTGATTCCCAAACCCAAGTAGGCTATCAAACAAGAAATAGCCTCATCTTATAACCTTTAGCATAAAAGCACATACTATTCTAATTTCCTTCAGAGTACAGAACATAAGCCTGGAGTGTTTGTTTTACATTCCTATGCACCTTCAAAGAATTAACTTTGGCTGCTGGAAAAAGAGGAGGAAGTAAAAAGGAGGAGACAGAAGCTTATGCTTACATTCTGTAATACAGTCTAGAATTCCTTTCACTTAAAATCTTAGAATCTGTTAGGTAATTAAAAGTGAGGGAAGACTCTTAGCATGCAGACGTCGCATAAAAAGGCATATGACTTTCCAGATGCAGACACTTTCTACCAGCAACTTCTTATCCATATGCTTATTTGTTTATGGTCCTATATTACACATCATATTGCTAACTGAGTACTTACAAATAGTCACAGAATCACAGAATGGTTGAGGCTGGAAGGGACCTCTGGAGATCATCTAGTCCAACCCCCCTGCTCAAGCAGGGTCCTCTAGAGCATATTTCCCAGGATCACATCCAGGCGGGTTTTGAATAGCTCCAGGGAAGGAGACTCCACTACCTCTCTGGGCAACCTGTGCCAGGGCTCAGTCACCCTCACAGGAAAGAAGTTTCTCCTCATATTCAGATGGACCTTCCTGTGTTTCAGTTTGTGCCTGTTGCCTCTTGTCCTGTCCCTGGGCACCACGGAGAAGAGCCTGGCCCCATCCTCTGGACACCCTCCCTTCAGATACTTGTACACGTTGATCAGATCCCCCCTCAGTCGTCTCTTCTCCAGGCTGAACAGGCCCAGCTCTCTCAGCCTTTCTTCATAGGAGAGATGCTCCAGTCCCTTCATCATATTGGTAGCCTTCAGCACTACTGGAGAGAATCCAGCGATGTCTCTCTTGTACTGGGGAGCCCAGCACTGGACACAGGACTCCAGGTGAGGCCTCCCCAGGGCTGAGTAGAGGGGCAGGATCA